TCTCAAAATGCTTAATCTGAAAATGGCTTGAGTGCGGGACTCAGGCTAACCCTCCCTGGGTCAAATACCTCACCTGAAATGTATGATCATGTAAGCCATTGGTCTCTTTATTTTTAACATGTTATTCTCTTCAGTAAAAGAATTTAAGCATTTGTTCTCATTACATATAGATTTACTTATACTTTATGTATACTAAACTATTAATATGTTTATAATATACAAATAGATTAGAAGTGTACTAAGATAAGATGTATTGAATACGAAGAAGAATTTTAATACTTACCTTTCATCTACTTCAAATGTATTATCTTGTTTGCATTTTGGGGTTTGAGAATCTGGTCAGAGTCTGGCATTGTCATCCTAAGTTTAGATAAGTTCTTTCAGATCAGAAACTTTGTTATTGCTGTAACCCAGCGCCTGGAATGGTGGGGTCAGATCTTTGGCATGCATTCTGCAGCAGGCTGTTTGTATCATTGAAAGCTCTAAAAGGTTCCTTGTCCCTGACCTAGAACATGCTAAGAGCTCAGTTGATACTGTTGGGTGAATATGCAGAATTCATCTGGCTAATAAAGATGTTTAGCTTAGCATAAGGAATCAGGTAAGAATAAGAACATTTTTTATTCATTGCTCTACCTCTTATGTGTAAAAAAGTAGGCACTCAGTAAACATTAAGGGGATGCATGTATGTGTTGTTCAGCCTAAGGGGTCTGGAAGAGACCATGGATCTGTGGACATGAAAAACTATGTTCCAGGAGATTTCCTAAGGCAAAGTAGTATATAGAGATAGGATGACTAGAGGTGGATTAGCCTATGGGGGTCAGAGTATTAGCAAGAACATCTCTGAGGAGTGTCTTTAGTGACCTTTGTGCTTAAAGCACTTACACTTTAAGTGGTGACATATGGATCTTACTCATCTTTGTACCCATGTATAGTGGACCTTTGATGAATTTTTTGTTGAATTACTTAATCGAGTCCACAAGAGTAGATCAAAGTCAGAATTAGGCCTAAGAATGAGTCCTTACCTGAGTGAAACAAAGCTAGATGGTTTTTTGTTTTGGTACTAGAAGAGATCAAACCTGTTAAGCAAGTGTTGTACCGCTGAGCTACGGGCTCAGCTCTTTTAAAATTTTGAGACAGAATTTTTCTAAGTTGCCCTTGTCGGCCTCAAACTTAGAGTCCTCCTGCAGCCTCCTTTGTAACTGGGATTACAGGCCTGTGCCTCTACCCCCACTTACATATTTGATTTTAAGGCCCTGGCAGTGTTGCCTGTACAAACAGAGGAGCTCTAGTGATCAAAACTGCTATTACCCTATTCCTTCTTCTCATCACTAAAGCTGGGATATGTTATAGAGCATCCCAGCCTTACACCCTGTTATAGTTAGGACTGAATTTAAGTATAAATCAATCAAAGGAGGTGTTTTACATTTTATCTCCCCCTTTTCCACCCATTTTAAATTTAGGTAGTAGGAATTATAGTTTTATGGTCATCAAATACGTTTGTCTTGTTGTATTGAACATCATCAGAGTCGGAGGCAGGAAACTTTCTGAGAAGCAGCTGTGGTGTTAACTCTTTTAGAAGCTAGCTACGTGGAGGCATCTTTCTTTAGTGATGCCACACTGGCCAAGATTGCGACATGTTTACCTAAAGCAATTTCACATTTGCATAACTAATAAATTTCTGTATTCTAACTTTTTTATGCCTTGTAAATGTGGGAACTTACCTTTGTCTTTACCTTACAATGTAAACTCTGCCCAAGCTTCCCACAATTAAATGAAAATTAAATTTTCTAGTAGAACCTTCATACACCTTTGCCATAGTCTCCAAATAAAGGCTTGAAAGAGCCAAGACATTTTAGCTCTCATTTTGTTAGTCATTAAGTCCTGAGATCTTTATTGTAAGGCTGTGACTAATATTGTAGAGTAGTAATAATATCTTGCACTCTTTATTGCATCTTAGAGTTTGCATTGTGATTTCTTTGAATTGTCTTATTTGATCTTTATAACTGTGCTGTAAGGATGTCATTGTTTCCATTTTTCATGTGAAGATACAGGCTCAGAGTTAAATAGCTCAACTGAGTGTTCAATGGGTTTTCTGAAACCAGAACCTACAGATTCTGGCTGTCAGTCTAGGAAGCTGCCCTGGTGCAGCACAGAATTTACCTTTTTAAAGTTCACATTTATTGTTTCCTTTTAGTCATTTTCAACTTGTTAGATTATTGTAAATACTTGGGACAGTGGTGATTTAGAAGATTTGTTTAATTTGTTCATACTCTCTGGGCTATAAAATTTGAATGAAATCAGCTCAAAATGCCTCATAGACTTAGAACTGTTACATATTTAAATAAGTCTTCTAAGATCATATGGAAAATCTATCTGTTTGGCTTAACTTTTTTTAAAAACACTTGTGGTGGAACATTACCTGTATGGGAACCTCGCACTTACAAAGAATGTACTTTGAAGTATATAATTGAGATTTTGATTGTGGTACTAGGATAATTTGTTTCTCCATGAGATTTTCTAAAATTGCAATAAAAATTAACTGGAAAATGCAATTTGATATCTATATATTTGACCTGTTCTTATTTCCAAAACATGTTCTTTTTGTAATATGATATAGACTGATGTTTTCAAGGAAGGTAAGACAAGTGATAGTGCTCTTTCTTTTTAAATTTAAAATGCATTTTAATTTGGCAGTTTGTAAAAGGAAAGGTTTCATAGACTACAGAATCTAATACAGTTCTACCAACTATAAAAGGGAAGGCATTTGTGTCTAAAAGTTATCTCAGAATCAATTATTCAGTAACATTCTATATAATACAGAGCTTTTATTTCTTAGGATTTTATCTTTTAAGTTCCCCAACAGCATAAAGAGATCTAGTAATTATTTTTCTATGGGAACATGATAAAAGATTGACTTCATTAGAATTATAGAAGTTTTAAATTTAAATACTTAAAGTTTTGCACATTATTTAGGATGTTTGTTTATACAGGTTTCCTTCAACTAATTTTGAGAAGCTATTATTTCAGTACTTATGCTGTCATTAGGACATGGTATGATAGTGACTAAAGAAGTTTCTGGAGAAATTATAATTTGATAATTTGAGAAAGCCAAAGCATGTGTTTATTGAAGAAGGTTTATAATATTGAAAGGGAGTGAAACCAAGAACTTTCTCTTTAGCTGGACCTTTCCTTTAAAATGGAGTATGAGCGTAAAAGTCATGAGGATAGTTAGGCAGAGTTCTTCCCTAGCCTGTTTCTAAGCAGTGTTGTGTAGACCATGAAATCAGCGCTCCTACTCCTCTTTCTGGCTTACAGCTAACTGAAGTAGAAACTATTATCTCCATTTTAGAAGCAGGAACTGAGCCTCAGACTTGCTAACTGGCCCAAGGTCATTCTCCCGTGTAGTGATGCTGGCCTCCCATCCCAGCGCGTTCTGCATACTGAGGTGACACTCAGGGCACTCATGACCTTATCCTGCCTCTTGTGCTTACCACATGGCTTTTGCACTGTTCCGTGGTGTGTGGGTCTATCTGGATACCACTGAATTGTGATCCCTCATGGGCTTAAAGCATGGCTTTCCAACTCACCATAAAATGGTCTTTTCACTGTTTTTGTTTTTACAATATCAACTAAATTGCCATATACAGAACTGTTCCCTGGCAACTTTTCTGTCCCTGTCCTCTCCTCCTCTCTCTCCTTTTCTTTCTTCCTCTTCCTTTCTCTGTCTTTCCCCTTTCTCCTTCTCTTTCTTCTTTCCTTCCTTTTATTTATTATTTTTTTCTTTTATGATACTGGGGATTGAACTCAGGGCTTTCACACAAAGCTAATCCCCAGTCCTTTTTTATTTTTAATAATTTTTTAAAATTTAAAAATTTTAAATTTAAAAAGGTCATGATAAATCACTGAGTTGATTAGGCTGGGCTTAAACTTCCAATCCTCCTGCCTCAGCCTCCCAGCTGTTGGGATTACGGGCGTGTACCACCACACCTAACTAGCAATTGTTTCTTGGATAATTCCAAGCATAAAGTAACTTCTCAAGTGAAAACAAAACAAAACAAAAAGTGAGTACTATATACAGATGAAATAGCTGTCATTTAAAAAATAAACATGTCACTATATAAAAGAGAAAAAAAAAAGTAGCTTTAGAATCAGTAACTTTAAAGAGAGTCAAATAACCATAATTCTAAGTGGGATATTCAGATGATCTCAGAGTAATACAATCTATTGGTTTAAGTTTGAAGCAGTCAAGCCCCTGACGAAGGAACTGGAAACCCAGGCTAAATGACAGAACTGAGTCTAAAACACGAGACTTCTTGGTTTGGTGTTTTCCTATAGAAGAAATCTGCTTAATTCAAAATGATGCAAACAACATTTTTAGCCAATTTATGATACTAGCTACATGGCTGGAATATATGACTTACTGTTTATAAATAGTTAAAAAGATTGAAGAACTAAAATGTGTATTGTTAGAATGAAGCTGTATGTAATACATTATTTTTATTACCTTAAAGCCTATCTTAAGGATTGATTTCTAATTTACTTAGTGGTGTAATATGATTTTGGTAGCTAACACATAGTAAATTGGAACATGGCTTTGGTGAAGCTCCCTGAGTCCTGTGAAAACAGAGCAAGAATTTGCAAAACAATAGCATTGCTAAATGACATGCTAGTTTATCAAGAGGCCCTAAGTTTATTACAGTCTGATATCAGGAAAAAACCATCCCAGCCTCATAGCAGCTCACCCTAATCTTAAGCAAAAGAGCTTTAAAAAGCTCTTTTGTTCTAGGGCTATTAGGTTTGTTCTATTCAAGAAAGTTATTATAAGAGGGAGTGAGTTCACTGATTTGTGTGTTTTGCCTCATTGTGGCCATATTAAGAAACTGCTGTAATGAGATCTAGCGACCTTGTCATTGTGACTGAATCTGTTTACATATATATGGGCTGGACTATTGGTGAGTTAAGACCCCAGAGAATATTTTTAAGGTTAGTATTTTTGTAAGTTTCATTTGGCAGAAAATAACCTGTGCCCTGTAATTCAGAGCTGCTTGGTGTCCTCGTCCGACAGAGTGCTGTCCTGGGAATTCACAAGGGAGAAACCATCGTTCAGTCCTGAGCTCCCAGAGTTGGAGGTATGTAGCTTTGGCAGCTGCTGTCTTACTCTGTTTCTTAGAGTATATTAGAAAAAGGGACACTTAATTGAGATGCTTTATTTCCAAATGTTAGACAATTCTCATAATACTGTGGACTGATTTTCTTAGAGTAAGACACTGTACTGCCTTCTGGCAGGAGGTTGTCATGGGAAATATGCAGACTTACCTCTCAGATGTGAGTGGTGCCTCCTTGGTTTGTACGTAGCACAGCTTGCGTGGGTGTGTACGTAGACCCTGAAGACAGTTATATCTGAGGAAAGCACGTGTGTACACATCAGATAGTGAAACACCGTATCCAAAATCTATAAATATGTTATAGTACTTGAATATGAAATGCTTGTTATTTATGAAAATTTAGAAAATTTAAACATTTTAAACCTAAGAGATAATAAGACAATAAGAAGTGAAGACATTACTTCTGCAATTCATTACTGACAGCAGGCTCTACATTCTATTACACATCTCGTGGAACACCTGGTATTATGTATTTTCAAAGTTAGTCTATCTTTTACAGTATGATTAAAGAAGAAAATTTTCTGACCTTTGTAAAGGAATTTTCCTTTATTAGATGGGTGGTGTAATAGAATGCAGAATGACTTTAAGCATCTACCTCTTTTATCCATCATTAACAGTTAATTGTCACATCATGTAAGTGCAACTTGATGGAGTTTTTAACATACCCAGAAATTGGCAACCTGTGATGAAGAAAGTATGCTCTGTGAGGATTTGAGCTAAAAGAATGAAAGAAAAAAATGAACCTTTTTAAATCTTAAGTAGCAGCTACATGGAAATAAAAGCTTTTAACTTTTGTGGGAGAATGGTGATAGCAGATCAATACCTTACATTTAGTTGGAAGCAGAGGCTTCAGACTGTTGCCTGTCTCACTCTAGGGTGGCTGTTTCGGCAACTGAAGACTCTACAGAAGTAATTCCTTGTATGTTGGGAAAGATAGTATTGTCATCCTTGGTGCTAGGCCGTGGATATTTTTTAATTTTTAAAATTAAAATTTTTTTTGCTGTACTACAAATTGGGCACAAGGCTTCATACATGGTAGGCAAGTGTTCTGCTGTTTAGCTGCATGCCCAAACCTTTGAAGTTCTTTTCTTTTTTTAGGCCTTGCTAAGTGTCCTAGCTGGTCTGGAACTTGCCTTTCTCTTTTTCAGCCTCCCAAGTAGCTGGGAATAAAGGCATATGCCTTTAATTATTTTCTTAACAAGGGCAATAATTACGTTTCTAAGTCTTTAAAGGCTGGCAATTGGTAGGATATTCAGCAGGAAATCCATTACCCTGTCTGTGGCTGGGGTAGTTTGTGCACTTCCCTGGTCAGGTTTGGACCTTGCTACATAGGTAGTGATGCTGTGTTAAGTGGTTAAAACCATAGATTTACTGTTCTGCTGGGGCTTTCACTAACTCAGTGACATGGTTATAAAACACAGGGCAAAGATTTTGAAGTGGTGCTCTTTTACCAGTTTTCACACAATTTGGTAGAAAGGGCAATAAAATGTTGCTGGTTTGTTAAAAAAAAAAAAAAAAAAAAGTCTGCTTGTGCCCAATAGTTTAAAGGTGCTAATAGTTTCTAGTAGGAATATCACATGTGAAAACCCTGTACATTACTTTTATTTCAGTCCCTTAGCTAATGATCACTTTTCCTGCCCTGTAATACCTAACCTATCTTCAGCTTTCTCATCATCTTCCTACTCTCAGCAGACTGATAATGTTTGTTTGAATCAGCACACTCTTCTACACCTTTTGAAAATCTAGGTCTAGGACCTAGAGCTACTGAACATCCTTATTTTGATATTTAACTCAGAATTTGTTAGGATGATAACTCTTCTCTAAATGCTCTTGCATGTAATTATGCTAGTAGTTAGCTGCTTGCTTTTGGCTATATAAAACTTAGGATTTTTAAGATTCATGATACACAGGGCTAAATGTTTAAATAAAGCATTATCAAGTGATTTTACGGACAATTGTTTTTTGGCACGTCTTATTTTACATGAGACAGGACTTCCATAAGAAACTTGTACCAGAAACTTTTCTTGAAGTTTTATTACCTTTTTATTTCATAGAAAGGGTTGAAACTGCTGAGTTAAATACCAAAAAACCTATTTAAAAAACCCCCATAGTAATTATGATGTTAGTCCAATGTTAATTCAAGAAAAATATTTTTGTTAAATATAAATTAGATGTATAAATTAGATATTTGATCGTAGCATTTGGGACCTGAAAAACTATTACATATAAGTGTACACACACACACACACACACACACACACACACATATATTTATGTATACATTTATGTTTTGGGGTTTTTTTTTGTACCTAAAAGTGATACTTGGATCCTTTATCCATCCCAATTATTACTTTGTTTTCTTTTCTTTTTTTTTTTTTTATCGGTACCGGGAATCGAACTCATGACTGCCTGCTTGCAAGGCAGGTGCTTATGCCGCTGAGCTAAATCCCCAGCCCTATTACTTTGTTTTTAAAAGGTAATTATATTGATTTGCTGAGTAATTTCTTACCCAACCAGCTTCTGTTATGGTTTGTTAACATTACTGCTCTGCTAGTTGATTTATTCTGACTTGAGAGTAATGAGTATTTTAGGTAAGCTTCATAATGTTCAAGATAGCTTGAAAGATTAATCAATACTTGTTTTTTGCTTTAAAAATGTGTATCAGTTATTCAATTAACAATTACCTAAGCAAGTTGTTTTTCATTATAATCAGATAATACAAGAAAGTATTTCCCCAGAGAGTATGAAACAAAGCACAAACATTGTGAAGATTTATAGCTTTGAATCTTAACTACAGGTTAGGATGATGGCATAAATCATAATATACTGCATAATTACAAAAAAAACTGGAAAGAATTTATGATGATTCTAAAAGATTATCCTTAGTAAATTAATGGTCTTGGTGGCCATTCACTAAATACCTATTCAGTAAATGAAATTATCTTAGTTGTAGAGGTGATGATTGTATCTACCTGGCTTGCCAGTACCTAATGAAGTACCTGTTAAGTAAATGGGCATTCATGGGTGAAAGAAATACAAGACAGAATTTAGTTGTGTAGATTCTTTGAGCATAATTTTAATGTCCAATCAGAACTCTCCTAGATTCCTATGAAACCTATCACAGTTGTTTTTATGTCTGTCCTACCTTTCAAGAAATGTGTAAAATATGATTCTAAATTTGTTATTACTACTTATTTGTATACTAGGCCCTCTTTGTATACTTTTAAATATTCCATCTTATTAAAGATCCTGACAAATATTAGTACTAGCCATAATCTATCCAGCCTCCTCTCCTCTCATCTCCTGTATTCTGTTTGCTGTGTTCTTGTACACGTTTGAGCCTGAGGCCCTAGGAGGATGAGCTGCTTATCTGGAACCACACTGAAAAGGCTGGCACTCATCTAAATCCAACACCACCTGGCTTTCCACTGTCCTTGCTTACCTAGCAACTTGTATACCTAGACTCTTTGAATATCTAATTTCTGAGGCAGTTGCTTATTTTCCCCGTTTGCTTGACTTTTTTTTTGAGTTTTGTAAAAGTTTTGAATTTGACCATACTCTTAGAAATCTAATTAGGTTGGACTTTTAAGTATCTACCCGTGATGCAGTGCATGCTTCAGACCACTCCTATTTTAATGTCATCTATGCCAACTCTTACAGCTGTGTGAGTATTTGGACGAAACATTTTAACTTCTTCATATTCTAGTTTCTTTGTCTATAAACAGAAAATAGTAGTTGCCTTTTGAAATGATTTTGAAGACAGATACAACCCATGAAAAACATTCAAATGCCTTGCCTTATATAGTGCTTAGCATTATAATAGAAATAAATATATAATATCAATTATAAATGTATGTAAGGCTTAGCATGATAATATAAATAAATATGAATACATATTTCTTGTAGAAATGACTCGTATCATGTTAGATAGATGTGTTAGATGTATTGCTGTCTACTCAGAAGTGTAATATATGATCTTACAATTTTGAATGAAGAAAACTAGATTCAGAAAACAAGTAGTTTTTTGCATGGTGAAAATAGGTAGTAGAATACCTATAAAGAAAATAGTCAAAATTACTGAAATAGTAAAATAATTATAGCATTTATTCATCAGCCATTACTGTGAGCTAATCTTTGTTCTACTGTCTAAGTCTGTGGTAATAATAAGGTGGTTAAAAAAGTTGTCCTTATGGAGTATACTTTCTAGTGCAGGAAAAAATAGTCTATATATAAGTAAGCTGTGCGGTATGTTAGGTGGTTATATGTTACAGAAAAAAAAATGAAAGTAGGTAAGGAAGAAAAAAGAGTGGCGGTATTTTGTGATCAGATAGGGTCCTACACTGTATGGAATTGTACAAGTCCAGGAGAGGTGTGTCCAAAGGTGGTAACCGTGGTGCTGACCTCAGAGATGTCCTGTCCTCCTTTGAGATCTGCTTGTGTTTTTCTTTCTTTCCTTCTTTTTTTAATCAGTACTCCGGACTGCATGCTTGCAAGGCAGGTGCTTATGCCACTGAGCTAAATCCCCAGCCCCCTGCATGTCTTTTTCTACACAGATTTTAGAGTACTTCTGGCTCTTTTGGAGACGTTCATGTTCAGTCTGAAATGTAGTGCCAAAATTGTTCCTGGTGGCAGGCTTTGGTAATGCATTGTTACATTTGGAAATGGATGCTTGGTACTCTGGATTACTTTCTATATAGTTGGTAGAATTAGGGGCAAATCATGTGCATTTATTTCTTGCAGCTAGCTACTCAATTCTTTTGTTGTTTTGTTTTGTTTTTTTGTTTTTGGAATTCATGATTGCAGTCAAGTGAGCACTAAGTAGGCCTTCTGAACTGAAAAGCATCTTAAGTAAGTGTGCTGTTCTTAATTGCCTCTTTTTTAAAAAAAATTATTACATGAGTAGAAAGATACATTTAAATTTTAAATAATCTACAAAGAGCCAGGACAAAGGAGAGGCAGATTAG